ATCTGTTCATCTTCTGGACGACTCTACCCATCACCCACCTCCTATAGGCCTAGACAAGGTCAAATTTATTACTGATTTGGTTAAGTAACTATGCACCCTATGGGGTCAATAGCTGTGCAACAAGGGGGACAAATATACAGCATCTAGTAAACAAGACCAACAAATAATATAGAGTTTGAAAGGTACTTTCAGGCAGGGAGATTACCTTTGTGGCTACGTATCTTCATAACCAGTCCGTGATATTTGTTTCTATTCTTACTACTCCAGCCTGAACAACCATACTTTCCTGTCAAGCAGCTCCCACCAGCAGCTCCCACCAGCAGCTCCCACCAGCAGCTCCCACCAGCAGCCCCCACCAGCAGCTCCCACCAGCAGCTCCCACCAGCAGCTCCCACCAGCAGCTCCCACCAGCAGCCCCCACCAGCAGCTCCCACCAGCAGCTCCCACCAGCAGCTCCCACCAGCAGCTCCCACCAGCAGCTCCCACCAGCAGCTCCCACCAGCAGCTCCCACCAGCAGCTCCCACCAGCAGCGCCCACCAGCAGCCCCCACCAGCAGCCCCCACCAGCAGCTCCCACCAGCAGCTCCCACCAGCAGCGCCCACCAGCAGCCCCCACCAGCAGCTCCCACCAGCAGCCCCCACCAGCAGCCCCCACCAGCAGCGCCCACCAGCAGCTCCCACCAGCAACTACCGCCTATACAGAGCCCCGTGTGGGCACCAGGAGGTAAAAGGCTGGTTTTCATAGGCAAAACTGACCACTCTTCCTTCTGGTTTAAAAAATAGATCCCAATAACGCTATTGAAGGTACAGGATAAGAATTAGGATTTGGTTTGGGACCGAGGATTGGGAAAGAGGAATGGTGCCCAACCACTTGGTGGATGGTTGGGGGACTGAACGCCGACTTGTATGAAGCGAGACCGTCGCCCTACCGTCCAGCCCAGGTGGTTGGACACCAAGAGGGCGGAAAGCTGACAAATGTTTGCTGAGAAGTGCTCCTTCTCACCTTAACAGGGTGACCCTCGTCGTTGACGTAGACACACTCGCCATGAGACCCGCCGTCTTTGTCAATGATCTTGGACTCTGCGGTTCCCTTGCCCTTCCTCCCCAGGTTCAGTCTGACGAAGGATTTAGCAGCCCTGGCCAGTTCCAGGAGGCTTAGCGCCAGCAACACCGCCAGCAGCGCCGCCCTGGTGGTGCAATATGACTCGCTCTTGCGTACCATCTGCAACAACCCAAAATAAAATATAATTTTATGGGCATTTAATATAAAAACAATGATTTTTTTGTTTGGAATCGTAAAAAAAAATCTTTTTGATGTATACTTTACCTAAGTGCAATAATCGTCGTACTAGAAAATGGAAGCGGCTCACGAAAGTGATTTACTGTCCCGTTTTCTGTTTTGGGTCCTCTGGCAGATTAGGATTAACTTACCTGTGGAAAAGGGCACTTTAGTACGGCAGTTTCTTGACGTTGGGAAACCTTAACATCAGCACTGAATCAACGTTGATGACCTAAATTCAGCGTTGCTCAAAGATATTGTGTCCACTGGGATGTTGATAACATATTAACTACAATTATTTAACGTTGATCCTATGGTGATTATTAAGTTTTTAATCAATTACGTCATTCGAGCATGCGATGGTTAATCATCAACGACGTCTCGCGTGATGTCATCGAGTCGACGTTATAGAGGTTATAATTCCAGTGTCAAGGGGCCTGATGGCTGAGTGGACAGCGCTCAGGATTCGTAGTCTTGGCCATCACACCCTGATGGCCTGTTCACCTATCAGCAAATAGGTACCTGGGAGTTAGACAGCTGTTACAGGCTGCTTCCTGTGTGCGCGCGCGTGTGCGTGAGTGAGTGAGAGAAAAAAGTTGACAGTTGATAGGGGTTGAAAGAGCCAGAGCTCAACCCCCGCAAGCATAACTAGGTGAATACAACTTGGTGAACATACACACACACACACACGTGTACGTAAATAGGAAATAATAGCCCATAAATTAGAAAACTCAAAAAATGTCAACTCGATATTCCAATCCCAAGCCAGAACTCTCTTTCTAAATAGTGAGTTAAAATTTCATGGATTAATACACTATTGCATTTTTCTCTCGCATACACACTTGCGATTATATTGTAATTACATCAACACTGCATCAGTGTTGGTTCCTGTGGTTGACAAACCACAGACTCATGTGGTCTCAACTTAAGACTCATGGAGTCTTAAGTTGACAAACTTAAGACTCCATGAACTCACAAATATCACGCATTGTTTGGAAACACGACAACCTGCATACCATGATCACCTGCTTCTTTATAATAACAAGTGACGAGAGCTTTGGGGGGGGGGCCCTTGCCTGGTGAATACTGCTGGAGAACAGTCTTGGGGCCCCTGTTATGGTGAACACAATAGAAAAGCTTTAAACCTGAATAACCTGAACGACTCAAGCGGCTAGTAGAGTTTAACTGAAAGAAATGCAATAATATAGCTGGGTGGAAACTTACATAAAAATGGACAGAGATGCGAGTTCAGGAGGCTGATATCACAGGAACGGTTTAAACAAGATATCAAACTATTTATGCAAGTAGTCGGGGGGGGGGGGAGGGTTTCTAAGTGCTAATATTTTTTTAAAGCATTTAACGTAGGGCTACACCCGACTAGTCTATGTTAGTCCCATACCCCAGACCATTCCCCATACAAAACTAGTTGAGGCTAGCGCCGACCATCTGGCCTTCAACTTTGCAGAGAGACATTCTATCTTGTAGTATCTATACTATAAGAGAGAATGATTTCCTTCACTCCTCATCTCACAACGTTGTCGGGATTACAGTCCATTGTACTTACAATCTTAACGAGAAGTTTCTTGAAGGCGAGAGGTAATTACATTGACAATAACTCCCAACAGAATTAGGACGAGTCCAATACGGGCTCACCATAGCCCGTGCTACTTGGAACTTTTTGTTCCAAGTAGCAAATCTTAAACAACAACAACAACATCCCAACAGAACCAAACCAACGCCAAGATTCGACCCAAACATCACAGTAACAAGGTTATCGTGAACAACCTAATTTAATTACGGGATCACCATAGCCCGTGCTACATGGAAATTTTGTTCCGAGTAGCTGAATCTAAAGCAACAACAGCCAAGATTCATTAAGCATATCTGGTTACTGACTACGAAATCTGTACATCTTTCGTCGATCTTAGTCTGTATTAAACAGTTTGCGAGCTTCGAGACTTGGCATCCTAAATGATTACTGTTGTAGCAGCTACTTCTTAAATTATGGTACTTATCGCAACAATATGATTGAACGTGCAGGCGACGAGTCTCAATAACGTGGCTGAAGTATGTTGACCAGACCACACACTAGAAGGTGAAGGGACGACGACGTTTCGGTCCGTCCTGGACCGCAATCGACTTGAGAATGGTCCAGGACGAGCCGAAACGTCGTCGTCCCTTCACCTTCTAGTGTGTGGTTTAGTCAACATGATCGAACGTACAAAAATGAACTTTTGAACCCAAATAAAGTTCACGTTTTTTCTATTAATTTTGTAAAGGGAACGACAAAGTGCCAAAATCAAAATTGTAAACATTCTTAGGCCTAGTACTGCACGTGAAGGCATTATATTCAGTCTAATACAGTATAATAGGCCTAGGAAAGTCTATTTACAGCTTGGACTGGATAGATTCTTTAGTTGCCCCTCTCAGTTACTCAGTGTACCATCTGGACTAATAGAGAACGGCAACATTATTGGGTCAAATAGTCCATTTTTGAACGTTTGGACTAAATAGTTGCTGTAAGTATATATATTATTGGAGGTAAATACACGTCAGGATTCATCAAGTATTTACGCTACCACATACGAAACCTGTACATCTTTCTTCAATCATGGTGGCTTTGTTTTCATTTATGAAAACAGTTTATGAGCTCCGAAGAGCTACGAGATTGTTTATAACAATAACAACTATGGGTTGTGAAGCTTCCAAGCTCGTAAAATGTATAACAAATACTCTCGAAGCCGCCATGACTATGAAAAGATGTAGAGGTTTCGTAAGCAGCGTAAATCCTTGAGGAATTCAGAACATTGTCTGGTTTCCTTAACACAGCAGACGTATATCACAAATCCTGAGAGGTAAATAACGTAGTATATCCACCACAAAACAATTGACGCATGTCGTAGACCAAAGTTCAAGGTGCGCGTCTGAGGTTACCCGGGATGCTGGTTCGATTCCCGTCTTGTTCCAATGATTTTTTCCAATGTCACGAACGTTGACAAACAGAGCCCAGAGGCACGTGCCGGAAGCTTCCACATCAACATCCGGCTCAGATCAGCAGCAGCCACTCCACCACGACACAGTTGTACGCGGGAGAACAGTCCACAATATCAAGATGTAAGGACACACCTGCCAATACACACGTGTTTTATCGACAAGCAAACCCCCTGTGATGGTAAAACACATGTGGCGACAGAGAGAGAGACATGTTGACAAAATAGGAACTACTTATCAATATAACAGGCGACATATTGACTACTGAAAAAGTAACACTAACATGCCAGCCTTAACATACTCAAATGTAGTCTAAATGTAGGCTACATTAGTTATACAATATGACAGGTTATTGTAGCAGTTTGCCTTAGTTTTTACCGCGATTGTATTTAACCGTTCTGTAAACAGGGCATACAGACTGTACCTGGATTGTATCTGAATGGGGTTCTTGGATCTCTTCTACTCCCCAAGCCCGGCCCAAGGCCAGGCTTGACTTGAGAGAGCTTGGTCCAACAGGCTGTTGCTTGGAGCGGCCCGCAGACTCACATATCCACCTACATGGACTTTAGGGAGGGGACCTTTACACCAGATTCCTCTATTCACCCAGCAGGAAATAGGTACCACGAGCTAGGCAACTATTTAGTATTGCATTCTGGACGATGTTACTAGGCCTAGGGGTCACTTGGGACACCATTTGAGCATTAGACTGAGATAAAATTATTTATAACTC